CCCCCCCCCCCCCCCCCTCCAGTGGTATAATTTGCAGGCTTTGCACTGGTATAAAACAAAATAAAACAGAGCACTGCCAACACACCTGTGATTTTCCAAGGTCATTATTTGCCTTGGCTAAGGCCTCCTCAAGTGATACCACTTTCTTCTTTAGTTCGTCTTCTGAGCTTTGAACCTTGGCAAGCTCACCCTTGGCTGTTTTCAATTCATTATCACGTTCAGCAATTTCTTTGATTGAAGTTTCCCTTTGCTGCTTGCACTTTATAAGATCTTTTTCTGTGGATTCTAGCTTGGAAATTGTATCAGTAAGTTCTCTATCTTGTGCTCTTAGCACTTCAAGTTCTTTCTCAAGATTTCTTATTTTGTCACTGTCTTCAGAGACTGTAGATTTTGAGAGCTGTTCCTGTAATTCAGAGAATCGTTGCTTTGCTTCACTCTCAGCAGCCCTGGCCTCCTTGAGATGTTGCTCTAAAGATGCTATTGTGTCCAGCTGAGAAGAAGCTGATCCTGTGGTCTTTTGAAGATCTTCTTCTAATGTTGATATTCTATCATTGGCCTACAACACAAGATGGCATGATTAAAACTAAGTTTCTATGTTTTACAGCATTAACATATTAACATTTAATATTGAGAACATTACAAGCTTACTATTGAACTGACCACTGATAATTTAGCAGTGGATCCACATTGCCTTCAGAATAATTGGGAGTCTAAAATGGTAATTCCATGCACAGAAAGAAGGGTGAGGGATCCTTGAAAAATGTCATCCCTTGAGGAGGAGATTTACAAATGAACTCAATCCAAATGAAATGAGGTTTAAGAGCCCTGACCACAGCCACACCAGCAGAAGGCAAGTGAGCTCACTCCTATGCCTTTCCTCCTCAAACAAATCTCATTGTGCAAAATAAGTCTTACCCAACAAAGCATCACAGTTGCAAAAATATGGATAGCTTAGGTTTAATAATCCATTTTTATGGATACCTCTTTGAGCTCTCTTTGAGTTCGTTCTACAATCTTTTGCCAGTTGTCCATTTCAGATTCAACATTGTCTTCTAACTTTCTAAGCAAGGATTCCTGAGACAAAACAGCACACAAACCAAATTAATACCATTCTTTTGCCCTGTAACTCCCATAAGTGACCAAGACAGAATTTCTCCTTTCAACATCAATACAATATTAACCAGATAAGTGATGAGAATAAAGAAAAATATCAATTTGGGGATAATTAATTGATCCAATACTAAATTCTCTGACCTAACATTATAATAATTGTATGGTTGACAGTAAGGAGAAAGACAAATTTGATCTGGGGGTTAAAGGGTTGACTAGCTAAAAGATGCTTACCTCCCATCAAAACAGTTCTTTAAATTATTAGATCAGGTCTTTTTGAGACATCTGATCATCTTAGATCTTGAAGTTGGTTATTCATTACTTACTGTTTCTTGGAGTGTGACTTTGTAATGAGCACATTCTGCTACCAAAGTGTCTTTTTGTGCCTGTACTTCTTCAAACTTTTTGGTAAGCTCTTCCAACTATGATAAAAAACACAAAAAAACTCAGAGGAAAACAAAAATACACCAGCAGCATTAAAGTAAGGGAACTGACCTTTGCAAGTTCAAGATAATTCCTAACTTTGAGGTTTAAATGTCCAAATTAAAGGTGAATCAGGGTCCAAAATCAACTTTTTTGGTTTCATTTGCTACAACATTTTTTGAAGGCATGCTTAGAAACTGACCAAAATTCTGTTCACCAGTTGCATTAGCGGCCAACCAGTTACAATTTCAGACCCAGAAAGTTCTGCATGGACGCACCTGGTGACAACAGTTTAGGCAGCTAATACTAACCTCTTCACTATCGCCAGAGGATTTGGATGCTTGTTTTTCAAACTCCCCAAGCCACTTCTTGTATGCCTGAGAGACAAGAAGACAAATGTATATGACATACATGTTAATACCATTACTTGTTAAACACTGCAATAAACCTTTATTTAGTGACTGCCATTTTCGAGTTCCCATGGACAGAAATCTTTGATTTGTCTATTCAAATGCAGTTTAGCTGTAAGGCTGGATATGCCAAAAGAAAAGTATCTTTCCTACTGAAAAATGCCCACCATTAGACTATGAAGATAATCTCATGCTATTACCACTCTTACCTCTATTTATTCTCACAAACTAGTCAAAAAACTTTTAACCTTTTAACTCCCAAGATCTGATTGTTAATTCTCTCCTCTACCTGCTACACACTTCCTTGTAAATTAGTTATGAGAGCTTGGTGTTAAATCAAGATAACAACTTCTACCTGATTAGTTTGAATATTCTCATTACCTGTTTGCTAGATAATGTAAGGATCTTATGGGGAGAGTTTCATGTTGGTCACTTCTGGGAGTTAAAGGGTTAAGAAAAATTAGAAGCATACGGCAGAGTGAGCAAAAACAGTTCATTAATTTTACTTTTGGGCACTTAGGATATATTTCACTCACCAATGTGGTGTCTACCATGACATTTGGATGAACTCTACAAAGGACTGCCTACAAATGTTCAAAATGAATTATCAGATGGCTGAAAGTGTTTAATTCAAAGCTAGTAAAAAACAAAACAAAACAAAACAACAATAATGGATAATATAATTACCTTTGTCTCATTTTGTTCTTCAGTCAAATTAGTCTTGTTTTCATCCTATCAACAACAACCACAGTTAGTTTCCTGTTGTAAGATTTGCACTGACATTAAAGCAAGATTTTCAAAATTACCAAAAAAAAAACCAATTGCCATAAGATTTTTATTTTCCTTTGTGTAACACCACTTAAAGTCACCATGAACCCAGACATTGTTCCCA